AGGCACGCGCTTCACTCCCCCCCCCGCCCTTTCCCCCCACCCTCCTTTTGGCCACGGCTATTTTTAAAACCCAAAGCACCCAGCCCGGGTTTAATTTGAGACCTCGTCTCTCCATCTCCCCGGCTGGCGTGAAAGGTGGGGGGGCAGGAGGGAGGGGGGGAGGGGGCAGAGCGTGCTCCGCCCGGCCCCATTGAAAAATAAACCCCAATTTATTTATATTTTTTTTTAAAAAAGGAAAACAAAAAAAAAATCCCTTTCTTTGCTCCAGGCTCCCCCCGGCTTGCAACCCCCTCCCCCCACAAAAGGAACCCGGGTTAAACCCCCCCTCGCCGTCTAGACGGCTTTTTTTTTCTTTTTTTTTCTTTTTGCAAATCGGGGGCGAGAGAGGCAGGCGGCCGCGCAAGGTCAACTGCAAAGCCCGGGGCGCAAGGAGCGCGTTTTTGCGCGCGGCTCCCACCCTCGTTGGGAAGAAATAAGGAATAATGATAAAATAATGAAGGCCGGGGAGGGGGGGGTTAGAGAAAGGTGCCCTTGCTCTGTGTGTGTGTGTGTGTGTGTGTGAGAGAGAGAGAGGGAGATGCGCCAAAAGGGAGAGATCCAGTTCGACCCACGAAGCCACCACCCCCCGGAGCGGTGGGATCGCTTTTCCTCTCCACCGTCACCCCCGCGCCCCCTTTTCCAACACCTCCTGCGCAGCTGGGTGTGTGTGTGTGTGTGATGGAGGGAGGGAGGAAGTGTGTGTGTGGGGGGGGTGAGGGCCCCAATCTACAACCTACAGTTGGGGGAAGCCGCTTGCAACCCCCTCCCCTCCACCCGCCGCCGCCCCGCACCCCTCCTCCGCCTTCAAAAGCCTCTTGCAACGACCTCGTCTCGCTCGCCCCCGTTGGAAAGGGCACCGTGGGACCCCCCCCTCCCCTCCCGCCCCAACGGCCTTCTCGCCCCCCCCCCTCCACTCCTTCGGCAAGACATGCCCACCCCGCAAGCCCGCAGACACGGACAGCCGGCCCGGTGCNATTCCAGCAGCCGTTCCTTATATGCTTTAGCAGAAGAGATCAAACAAATGCAATTTAATTCACTGGTTCTAAATAAGGCAGAATTGTGGTAATTTAGCTTAGCTTTGTAACTGAATTAGGCCTGGAGAATACAGAATATTAGCAAGTTGGTGGCATCTTTGCCGATTTCTAATTTGTAGCTGAATAAATTAGCACAGAATATAAACTGATGTTGCTAAACGGGAAAAAAAATCCCACTGTTTTACCAGGATATGGTTTAACTGTAAGCAGACTTGTAGCTAAAGTAAAAATCGGTATAAAAAACCCCAATTTGCCAAGAAAGCAAGCAAACAAACCAAACTGGGAAAACCAATTTGTTTTCCTGGCACTCAGTTATGTTTTCATTTAAAGCAAAGGTGCAGATCTAACCATTCTCAGCATGAAAAGCTATTTGCAATGGAGAAGCAGCCCAAATATTAACAACCGATCCTCAGAAATTCTGTTGTCAGTCGCCTTTGGCAAATGACAGAAGAGTCGGGATACAGAAAAGCTTATCGTGGTTGCCCCCCATCAATTCTTCTCTAAAAAGCCAAGTCGTGCAGCTGCATTTTAATAAACAACGTTATGAAATGGCTTCTTATTTTGCCAAACAGCTCTTCCCCAGTGTGTTGCTAGCAATTATGCAAAAGCAAGACAAAGAAATAAAGATCTGACACACCTTTCGGGATTATGCGCCATCTTTTGGCGGCTCTACATCAAAAATTAACGATGTACAAATTGGGCCCCAGTAAAGGATGGATTTAGGTTCTTTTTTAAAATATGTGAATAGCGGCTGGGCTGCTTTGCATAATTTATTCAGCTTCTAGAGAAGAAGGACAAGTACTTTCGCAGTGGCGCTAAGAACTCGCTTCCTGGGCACTAAAATTATCTTAATTTGCTATTCTGGTCTCTTGCGATGTCACTGCATATGGCTGCCACCCCCAAGCCCTCGGTAGACCTTAAGGACTAGAAACTTGCAAAGTGCTGAGAAGAGAAAGCCCACCCGGAAAAATTTCAGATTTGTAAAATATGATCACAGCACTGCAGAATTCATGTCATCTACCAGGGAACTGAAAATATTGGCATATGGAGTATTTATTGTATTTTACTAAAAGCTTTACAAAAGCAGGATACGCATTTATTTCAGGGTAGTGATTAGGAAGAAATGAAGGAATCATGGTTAGATATGTACCTGTTGTAAAACTAAAAATAAACTCTACTCTCTTCCGGCTAAGATGGGACAGGAGTTTACTCACTATCCTGAATTTAAGCTTCATAAAAAGGGGCTGCCCCAAAGAAGAGGGAATCAAGCTATTCTCCAAAGCACCTGAAGGCAGGACAAGAAGCAACGGATGAAAACTCATCAAGGAGAGAAGCAACCTAGAACTAAGGAGAAACTTCCTGACAGTTAGAACAATTAACCAGTGGAACAACCTGCCTCCAGAAGCGGTGAATGCTCCAACACTGGAAGTTTTTAAGGGGGCCATTCACATTAAACCTTTAGTTTAGTTTTGGCTTGGTGCGTAAAATGAATACAGCTATGTTGGTTTGCAGACCACAGCTCATGGCTTAGCATACTGGATATACCCAGCCAATTGGGGTTTTAGTCAATGGTAACTTAGTCAAATCATGGTTTAAGGCAGGGGTAGGCAACCTTGGCTCTTTTATGACTCGTGGACTTCAACTCCCAGAATTCCTGAGCCAGCATGGCTCAGCTTGAAAACCTCTCCCTTTCCCCTCAGCGTGGCTGGCTCAGGGATTCTGGGAGTTGAAGTCCACGAGTCATAAAAGAGCCAAGGTTGCCTACCCCTGCTTTAGGGTGTTGTGTGAACTCAGCTGATGATGTGGAAGATGGAATCTGGGTTAACTATAATCAGACCCAGTTCTGAAGAACCACGTTTACAAATACGTGCATACATTTATGTATATTTCGAAGGGTAACAAAAAAAATATCTAGGGATTTTGCTTTTTTTTTTTAAATAAAGGAACATGTCATTTTTTGCTGAACTATTGTCTTACTACCTGGAGTACTTTTCCTGAATAACTAACTGGAGAAATTAGCTAGATGTAGTAGCATCAGCACCACCTTTAACAGAAGAGACTGTTCTGAATCGCTCCTTCCATGATTGAGCTTGCTTAATTTAAATTTAAAAAACAGATATAGCCCAATTCGAATTAAGCCACAACACTGAACTGTCCTTGGTTCATCTGGGGACCTAAACGTGGTTGACCCCAGGTTAGTCCTTGGAAGAGAGACTCCAGAGATTCCAGAGCTGAAAAGTAGATTAAAAAGTCAAGAAAAAAAAGGGCAAACTCCATCCCTTACAATATCCAGGAAACTGTACTAAGAGTTCAGCTTCTTTCAAGGATGGTTTATCTTCCCTTTATTTATAGTATCTGATGTGGCCACTACAGATTGCAATGGGCAGCTGTGAAGCCACCTGCTGTGAAAAAAAAATCCTACCTCCTGATTTTTGGACAGATCCAGAGAGGTTTTCTGCACACAAAATGAATTATTAGTGTTTTCAATCTGGGGAGTCAGTAGGAACAATTGCACCCCTTTGTAGATGCCATCCTAACGAGAGGAGCTGGTTGGTTTAGTCCTATCCAACACAGAGAATATTTGTGCACAAGCAGATGACTTAGAACCAGCAATGCAAATGTTATCAGTATAAAGAGAGAAAGATCCACAACGGGGCAATGAACGAAACTCTTCTGCCAGGAAGTACAGTGGAATTTTTCTTATAGAGTTCCAAGTCTTTTTTCTACGCTAGTTGTCTTTTCCCAAAGAGGAAGGAAGGAAGGAAGGAAGGAAGGAAGGAAGGAAGGAAGGAAGGAAGGAAGGAAGGAAGGAAGGAAGGAAGGAAGGAAGGAAGGAAGGAAGGAAGGAAGGAAGGAAGGAAGGAAGAGAGATGGGAGAAGGAAAGAAGGAATTGGGAAGAAGGAAGGGAGGGAGATGGGAAGAAGGAAGGAATTGGGAAGAAGGACTTGGGAAGAGGGAAGGGAGGGAGATGGGAAGAAGGAAGGAGAGATTGGAGAAGGAAGGAAGGAATTGGGAAGAAAATGGAGGGAGATGGGAAAAAGGAAGGAGAGATGGGAGGAAGGAAGGAAGGAAGGAAGGAAGGAAGGAAGGAAGGAAGGAAGGAAGGAAGGAAGGAAGGAAGGAAGGAAGGAAGGAAGGAAGGAAGGAAGGAAAGGGATGGGAAATATGGAAGGAAAGAAGGGGAAGAAAGATGGGAAGAAGGAAGAGAGATGGGAGAAGGAAAGGAAGGAAGGAATTGGGAAGAAGGAAGGGAGATGGGAAGAAGGAAGGAGAGATTGAAGAAGGAAGGAAGGAAGGAATTGGGAAGAAAATGGAGGGAGTTGGGAAAAAGGAAGGAGAGATGGGAGAAGGGAGAAGGAAGGAAGGAAGGAAGGATAAGGGAGGATGGGAAATATGGAAGGAAAGAAGGAAGGAAGGAAGGAAGGAAGGAGAAGGAAGATGGGAAGAAGAAAGAGAGATGGGAGGAAAGAAGGAAGGAAGGAATTGGGAAGAAGGAAGGGAGGGAGATGGGAAGAAGGAAGGAAGGAATTGGGAAGAAGGAATTAGAAGAGGGAAGGGAGGGAGATGGGAAGAAGGAAGGAGAGATTGGAGAAGGAAGGAATTGGGAAGAAAATGGAGGGAGATGGGAAAAAGGAAGGAGAGATGGGAGAAGGAAGGAAGGATAAGGGAGGATGGGAAATATGAATGGAAAGAAGGAAGGAAGGGAGATGGGAGAAGGAAGGAAGAAGATAAGGGAGGATAGGAAGGAAGGAGAGACAGGATAAGAGAGGGAGGGGAGAAGGGAGGGAAGGAGGGAAGGGAGGGCGAATATGAAGGTCAGAGGGATAAAGATCCAGAGAAGCCCCCTCGTCTTACCTCTGCGGCTTCCTTCTCGAATTTCTCGATGGTCCGCTTGTCGATGCCCCCACATTTGTAGATGAGATGGCCGGTGGTGGTGGACTTGCCAGAGTCTACATGTCCAATGACCACAATATTGATGTGGGTCTTTTCCTTCCCCATATTTCCTCTCTTGGCCGAGGCCTGGGCTTACCGGGGGCGGGC